CAATTCTATACCGAATGTAGATAAGGGGAATAATCTATTTCATATTGGAAACAAAGTCATAGAATACCTATAGGCTCATATGAGTTTGAGGATATAATAAAATATATTTTTAATAAGCTCAAGGAATATGAACTTCACAATAGTGTAACAATTGAATGTAACACCAATACTTTACAGTTCAAGTTGTTAGTAAAAAAGAGACAGTATATTTTAATCATCAACGATCAATTGGACGATTATTTGGATTTAATAAGCGTAAATTAAGACCAATGAAAATGAAATTTACGTCTCGGATAACCCTGTAAATATTTTAAAATAATTCTGTTAGATTGGAGTGTACATTGTTAGTGGATCATATGTGGGAATAAACCAAATCATGTGCTTCATGAATTTGGAATCAATGTTCCGCCTGGATATAAAATGAACATTACACCACACAACTTGATTTATTTACCTGTCAACACCAGAGAAATAAGCACACTCGAAGTACGGATAACTGATCCAAAACGGAGAATTAATTAATTTGCGTGGAGAAACTGTATCAATTCGTCTTCACTTACGATCAACAGAATGATTATTTATATAAAAAGACGTTACATAGCTCCTTTGATAACATTATTAAACCTACAGTTGAAGTGAAAGCATCATCATCTTCAAAATCATCATCATCAACCCGAGGTCCTTCAAATCAACGGCCGACTCCACATTAAAAAATAAATTGATTTTAAAATCATTGCGATTTAATATTAAATAAATAATTCAAATGAATGAGATTTTTTATGTTCAAGAAAAACCTGTCAATGATGAAAGCATTGCTAAAAAAGAACTACATACTTATTATCCATATCAACAAAACTTCAAGCCAAATGATGAAGTTCGTATCACAATACAGAACCAAGATTTGTATGTCCTTCCATGTGAAGTTTCTCCACTTTGAGGGAACACTTAGCAAAATTATTGACACAAATACAGGAACGACTTCGACAAATGGAGTTACTGGGATGCTCAAAAATAATTGCATGGCCTATTTTCTAGATGAAATAAGATATGAGTTAAACGGGTGTGAATTGGATAGGACACGGTTTACTGGAATTACAACAAACTATTAAGAACTTTCTCTCAGTCGGCCAACAGGAAGGAGTTCTTTGTCGTAATGCCGGGTGGAGTGGTGGAGACAATATTCCTTCGGGAGGACATTTCAGCTTTTCTGTACCTTTAAAAATGTTGATGGGATTCGCTGAAGACTACAAGAAAGTAGTGTTAAATTGTAAACATGAGCTCGTTCTCTTGCTTACAAAAAACACTGATGATATGTATATTAAAACAGTTGATGGAAAAACACACATATTGCTATACATAACATATGTTGGAAGATTCCCCACATCGTTCCAAGTGACAGTGCTAAAATTAAAATGTTTAATGTAGTGAAAAGTGGAGCTACTCTCCCACTCGCATTCCGGAGTTGGGATTGTTATATTAATCCAACATTGGTACAGGGAACACATCATATCTGGAATGTAAAGTTGGCTGCAAATAGGGAACGCCCACGTTTTGCTGTCATTGCATTTACGTTAAATGGACAGCTAATTACAAACAATTTGAGAAATGCAAAAGTATATCTAAATTCTGAAGTCTATCCCTATGAGGATTTGAATATTAAATATAATGAGAATCGGTTTGCCGTCTTGTACGACATGTATACAAAATCCAAGAGAGCTACTACAATCGAGAACCACGGGCACTTCTATCACCCATCGAGTTTATAAGGAAGGCTCCTGTCGTTGTTGTTGATCTCTCATACCAGAATGAGTCTGTAAAATCAGGACCGATTGATGTAAAAATTTCCACAGAGCTAAGTGTGGCGAGTGAGATGAATACAAAGGTATATTGCCTTCTCATCCATGATCGACTAGTTGAATATACACCATTGAGTGGATTAGTTCAACGTATCGTCTAAAAATTTTTATAGGATAAGATCATTCAATTTTTATAATCATTGGGAGTAGACGTCCACGGAGCAATCAAAAATGATGTCATTGGAAAACAAAACCAAACCCACAACCTCTTTTACAATACATCAACTTGTAATTAGAATAAATAATTTCATGAAAATGTATAAGAATAAAATTTTCCCCGAACACGAGCAATATCTGGAGGATTCGATAAAATATTTCCATCAGAGGATGCCTGATACACCGCTAGTTTCAAATATACATGGACAACATTTCACATCTTGCTCTTGGGCGAATGATAATGTCAACAATGGTCTCGATACTTGCGCCTGTCATTTTTTTAGTGTTCGCTCTCAAAAATCATTAAAAATTATGAAAATGTATGTTGATTTAGAACATCGCTTCTGATATTTATCTTGATAAATAAAATTATAATATATAAACAAATATATATCCATTTTTTATTGGGAAAAAGGGTTTGGGGATGTATTTTTTTTTTTTTTTTTCAGTATTTATTTTTCAGATTTACTCTTTCACTTAAAAGTCACAATTCCATATCAAAGAAGGGCACATCTTTTGGTCAATGAAAGAAAGGGTGGTGAGGGTGATCCTTCCTCGAATTTGTGAAAGGATGGGGTGGTGGTGTGTGTGTAAGCATGTACTATCTCATAGGGAAAATCCACGCTCGTGGTGTGCGTCATTCATATGGTTGTACTTTGGTTGTTCCGTTCCAAACATGTACCCTTCTTCAATTCCACCCCGTTCCTTTTTTAAGTGATGGTCGTGGGTGATCGTCCAAGTGCGCTCGAGGATCGAGCAAAGCGTGGATTTTCCGTTCCAAACATGTACCCTTCTCCCATTCCACCCCGTCCCTTTCTTAAGTCAGGATCGTGGGTGATCGTCCAAGTGCGCTCGAGGATTGAGCAGAGCGTGGGCGTGGAATTTTCCGATCCAAACATGTACCCTTCTCCATTCCACCCCCATCCATTTTTTAAGTGAGGATTGAGGGTCAACGTCCACGTGCGTGAACGGGATCGATGCGGCCCAGGATCGCTGCGGTGCGACCTTTTCAATTGCCTCCCCCGTCCCTTTCTTTCAGTGAGGGTCGTGGGAACGTACACGTGCGCTCCGGGATCGCTCGGGATCGCTCCCCTCCCTTTCGCACTCGTATCCACATCCTTGTTGGGGCGCTTGAACACTTGTTCACAAGTGTCCTTTTACATACACTGACCCTAATTAATTGCATCTTTATTACCCCATCCATTGACAGGTTGACAGCTAACCCTCATTAATTGCATTTTTATTACTCAAAGCAATTAAATGTTTTGACAGCTAGCCCATTAATTGCATTTTTATTACCCCTTTTGCCGACATCAAAGGTCCCGAAAATCCCGTTTTTATACTACTTGTATCGCTCCTTATTTAATGGAATAACCTTTATTTCACCAGGTATGAGAGCCAAATCTTTTACAAATAGATGGCAATCATACCTGGTGAAATTGTGGAAGAAAACAGGAAAAATTTTGGGACTTTATATTTAAATTGCACTCATTATGTGCAGCACCCCTAAATTTTCCTGTGAAGAGACAGTGATCTCTAACTCTATCTAATAAAAGAGGAGTGTTGCATATATGACAATTAAGACATTTTTAAAATCTTCTTCTTCAACATCAGACATAATTATAGGTACATTTTTTGAAATATGATTTTCATATATAAGTGTTAGATTTTCTATAAGAGATAGGAGGAAATTATTTCCTGAGTTTAATTTAGTTTCTAAAACAAACTTATCTAAACTATTATCATGTGCACACTTTATATAGTATGCATATGAAATAGGCTTATGAATATTTACTATATTTAAATTTAATGTTTCGTTTATATTAATTGGTTGAAGGATGCATTCAAAATCAGCGTATACTGTGAATGGTAACATCACTTCCTTTTGAAAATTCTTATATTTTAGAATTGCATCTCTCGGGTTTGGTAAACGTGAAACTTTTTTACCGCAGACTTCAGAGTGTCGGTTGGCAGCCTCTTCACTCAATGAATAATTCAAACAAATTTGGCAAAACCATTTCTTTGACTTATCTCTCGAAACTTGAGAGGAAACCAAACTAAAATAAAGATAAAAAAAAAAACATTTTTTTTTAAATATGAAAACATATAAATATTTTGAAATTTAAAACAAAAACACAAACAAAAAAAATATTAATAATACATAATACATATTAATAAAAATGATATTATAAATCTACTCACTTTGATAGGTTTTTTATCCAAGTATAATGTGCTTTGCATCCTTCCTCTAATAACAACATATTTATAGTATTTTTCCTCACTCCAGGGGAATAAAATATGGGTCCAAAAATAGCTCCATCGTCGAATCCAAAAAGTGTTATGTTTATTTCTTTATTTATTTGTATAAATTTATTAATGTCCGAGGGTTTAAGTGGAAATTCCAATTCACTGAAATTTAATGTGATCCCATTGACTCGAATGAGATCATCATTTATATTCACTTTATAACTTGTACACCTGCTTGCATTTTTATTAATATAACTTAATGCAGCGATTAAGCTCCACTTAAAACAATATTCATCTCTCAGGTTTTTAACATTGATTATAGCTTTTTTATTTTCTAAGCAAGAGGGTAGTCTGATATATGATGATCCTCTTAAAGGTGAATATTTATTTATATTCTTTTCCAATCGATTCAGATGAATCAATGTCCATTCACTATCCCTTTCTTGGAATTCCTCCATCCTCACCAAAATTTTCTCCATGTGCTCCTTATATTCATTTTCAAATTCATTTTGAAATCAGTCGCGATCAGACACTCCCCGAGTTAAGACGTGCCTAAAATTTACACGGAAGCTGCACTAGCCCTAAATCCATAATTAACAGTTACGCGAATCACAAAACAAAACAAATCAGTGGTTGCTGATAAGCATCAAGAAAGTGTTGTTGTTAACATGAACGACGACGAAGACGACACAATGGTTTCGAGCTGGCAGAGAGTAAAACCGAAACCCAAGGCAATCAAGAGACCAAATCAAGTCTCTCCAATATTGCTAAAGAAAAAAATCGCTCTGGACTTTGCTCCCAGCACCAGCACCAATCAATTCTCTCTCCTAAGCGACAGCACGCCAAATAACGGAAATGAAGACGAAACTGAAACACTGGATATAATAACTGAAGACACCTTAGATGAATCTGCCAAGCCACCACCTATATTCCTATCTGAAGTCAACGATATTAAAGGAATGCTAGCTTATCTCGAGTCTAAAATTAAAAAACAGCTCTTCTTTTATAAAGTACAACGCGATGGTCATGTGAGAGTAATGGTAAAGACCATTGAAGAATACAGGAAACTTGTTAAAACCCTTACTACAGACCTTGTCAAATTCCACACATACCAGCTTAAACAAGAAAGGGCATTCAGAGTCGTTATTAAGAACTTGCACTTCTCTACGGATATCGATTTAATTAAACAAGATGTACAGTCCAAAGGCCACACTGTAAGAAACATAAGCAATATCAAAAGTCGTGTAACTAAAGAGCCATTGAATCTGTTTTTTTTTAGATATTGAGCCCAACAATAAGAACTTAGACATTTACAAAGTTAAATATATTGGTAACGCTGTTGTTAACATAGAACCTCCCCGCAAAACTAAAGAGATCGTTCAGTGCTATCGATGCCAGGAATTTAGACACACAAAGTCATATTGTGCCAAAACTCACAGGTGCGTGAAATGTTCTTCTAACCACCCCAGCAACATTTGTCCAAAAGATAAAGAGCAACCAGCAAAATGTGCCAATTGCAAAGAAGATCATGCTGCTAGCTACAAAGGGTGCAAAGTCTATCAGGAACTTATATCAAAAAAATTTGTAAGCGGACTCAACCACCTGAAAAACACCAAAGATAACAATAATAAAAATGACCTTGGTACATCTCAATCATTTGCTCCGTTTAGTAATTCGACACAACAACCCAAAGACTTCCAATCATACGCTCAAGTTGCTGCAGGAAATAGCGTCTCGAACGCGTCTCTAGAAAAAATAGAACAGCTTCTAGAGAAACAATTCGAGCTAACAAATAATTTACTTAACATGATAATGTTACTTGTAAATAAGTTATGCAATTAAATCTAAACTTAGGAATATGGAATGCCAACGGGCTTTCCAATCATTTAAATGAAATAACTTTATTTTTAAAAACAAATGCCATCAACGTCATGCTCATTTCAGAAACACACTTCACTAGCAATCTTATTTTCAAATTACTGGATACGATACAGTAAGAGCTGACCATCAGTCAGATAGAGCTCATGGAGGTGCCGCAATTATTGTCAAGCGCGGCCTTAAATTTAAAATCATGGACAGTACTAGAGAAAATGCTATACAGGCTGCGACAATTGAGATAAAATGTATGCATGCTGACGTATCAGTAACAGCGATTTATCTCCCACCAAGATTCTCAATAAAAGAACCGGATTTTAAAAACTTTTTTGAAAGACTGGGAACAAAGTTCATTGTGGGAGGCGACTTCAATGCCAAACATCCATGGTGGGGATCCAGACTGACAAACCCGAAAGGATCGGAGCTATACAAATGCATACGAAACAATAATATTACCACATTGTCAACTGGAAAGCCTACATACTGGCCAACAGATAATCAAAAAATTCCAGATCTAATGGACTTCGTAATATTCTCTGGAATTCCACAATCACACATGCGTGTAATTAAAAACTTCGACCTTAACTCAGATCATTCTCCAATAATAGCAACATACAGCACAATAGCCCATATGCTGGAAAAGCCCTATAAAGTCATTACAGCCTCTACAGACATTAACGCATTTAAAAGCTATTTGGACTCAGCTGTAAGCCTGGACATTTCGTTAAAAACAGGAGAAGAGATAGACTATGCTGTGGAGCTTTTCACAAATACAATTCATAAAGCGAGCTATAGAAACACGAATCATGCTCCTAATCTTCAACAACCAAATCAATTGTACCTTTCAACCGAACTTCGACAAAAAATACAAAATAAAAGAAATCTGCGAAAACGCTGGCAAGAAACTCACTACCCTGCTGATAAAAGATTATACAACAAGGCTGCATCTGAGCTTAGACAACTGCTGTCGAACTTACGCAATGAATCTCTAGCTGCGTATCTGAGAAACCTTGACCCAAACTCCTGAAACAACGAACACAACCTATGGAGGGCGACCAAATACCTAAAGAGACCAACTAAAAGAAACGTAAACATTCGTAAAGGCAATGGAAGATGGTGCAGGTCTGATAAAGAACAAGCGGAAGCATTTGCCCAACATCTGCATTCCGTGTTTCAGCCAAACGACATCAATAACCCAATAACAGAGACTGAAGTCGAAAACTTTCTTGAGTCACCCTGTCAAATGAGCTTGCCTATCAAAAGCATTAAGTATGAAGAAGTTGTGACAGAAATCAAATGCTTGAACAACAAAAAAACACCAGGCCCTGACAAAATAGACGGCATCACCCTAAAAACTTTACCACCAAAATGCATTCGACTTCTCACTCTCATATATAATGCAATTCTCAGACTAGATCACTTTCCAAGTCAATGGAAATGCGCAGAGATCATTATGATCCTAAAGCCACTCAAAACAGAAACAGAACTGACCTCATACCGTCCCATTAGTCTGTTGACAATATTCTCGAAAGTATTTGAAAAAATACTATTGAAGAGAATGTTGCCAATTTTGGACGAGCTTTCCATCATTCCTGAATATCAATTTGGATTCAGGAGAGGTCACGGGACACCTGAGCAATGTCACAGGGTCATTAATGATATAGTCTCTGCACTTGAAAACAAAAAATACTGCACTGCTGCGTTTCTTGATGTACAACAAGCGTTCGATCGAGTCTGGCACAATGGTTTATTGTACAAGATAAAGAAATGGCTACCTGCCCCATACTATCTATTAATCAAGTCATATCTGACTAAAAGATGCTTTTACGTGCAGCAGAAAAGCGACTCATCAACGCTAAACTGCATTAACGCAGGCGTCCCACAAGGAAGCGTACTGGGGCCAATTCTGTACACCCTATACACGGCTGACATGCCAGGTACAAACACATGCACTGTAGCAACATATGCTGATGATACAGCCGTTTTGGCTACAAGCACATCCAAAAATGAAGCGTCTGAACTCCTGCAGCGTGAGCTAAGCTTAATTGAAGACTGGTTTCTTCGATGGAAAATTAAAATCAACTCCCTAAAATCCGTCCAAATCACTTTTTCATTAAGACCAGGCAGCTGCCCTAATGTTGCACTTAACGGCTCACCAATTCCACAAACTACATGTGTGAAGTACCTCGGGATGCATCTCGACCGCAAATTAACATGGAAAAATCACATCAAAGCAAAGTGTCAGCAGCTCAGACTTAAAACACTACAAATGTCCTGGTTGTTAAGTCGCAAATCAGAAACCTCTCTGGAAAACAAAATCCGCCTCTACAAAGCCATACTAAAGCCTGTTTGGACCTACGCCTTACAGCTCTGGGGAACTGCTAGCAACTCAAATATTGAAATTCTTCAGCGTTACCAATCCAAAACTTTGAGACAAATTGTCAATGCTCCCTTCTACGTAACTAATGCAAACATCCACAAAGACCTCAACATCCCAACCATAAAAGAAGAAATAAATAAAATCAGTAAAAAATACATCGACAGACTCCATAACCATGAAACAATTTAGCCTTAAATCTAGTGGACAATAGTTTAACAGTAAGAAGACTGAAAAGATACCACATTCTCGATCTCCCCGACAGATAAATTAAACTACTGTAAATATGTAAATTATATAATAGCAGAGCTCACTGGAGAACTGCTTCTTCTGTTAGCTTAACACTCCTCATAAAATTTACCTATTGTTAATTAGACAGATTGTAAATAAATAATAAAGAAAAAAAAAAAAAAAAAAAAAAAAATTTGAAATGACTTTATTTCCTCGCATTTCTTTTCTTCTTTCAGGAGCGCATATTTTCCGAAAAGTTCAAAGTTAATTTTCACTGATGCATAACTCTCCAACAATGGATACAAGTGTGGAAGAAAAGCTTCTCCTGCTTCCTCCATAAATCACATCATTATTAGTATTTTCATATAGATACTGAATAATCCTTCCTTGGAATCCAGATTTAATTTTTTTAATTTTTGAATCCACTGGCTCGATGACATTTCTTTTGTGCTGCTCCGTCCGCAGATGATGGCTTCGCGAAATGTTAGCTGGCAGGGTAATGTTGCACTTTTCGCAGTACTTATCCATTTTGATTTGTTTTGTTTTGTTTTGTTGTTTTTTATACCCTTGCAGGGTATTATAATTTCAGTCAGAAGTTTGCAACGCAGTGAAGGAGGCACCTCCGACTATATAAAGTATATATATTCTTGATCAGGATCAACAGCCGAGTCGATCTAGCCATGTCCGTCTGTCCGTCTGTCCGTCTGTCCGTTTCTACGCAAACTAGTCTCTCAGTTTTGAAGCTATCTGAATGAAACTTTGCAGTTAGTCTTCTATATACTCTCACTCGTATATATGTCGGAACGGGCCGGATCGGACGACTATATCATATAGCTGTCATAGGAATGATCGGAAAAGTTTTACAAAAAAAATTATAAAATTTTTAGTTTTCAACAGAATTTAATCAAATTTGAGATATAGCCATTTCATATTATTCTACAATTTTGTGTAAAATTTTATGAAAATCGGACGACTATATCATATAGCTCCCATAGGAACGATCGAGAAATTAATTCAATTTATAATTATAACAGTTTCAGTTTTCAACAGATTTTCATCAAATTTGAGATATAGCCGTTTCATATTATTCTACAATTTTGTGTAAAATTTTATGAAAATCGGACTAATATATCATATAGCTCCATAGGAACGATCGAGAAATTTGAGAGGAATGAGAATGGCGGTGGCTGTTGTCGGAAGACTGACAATCGCGGTGGCGATAACATTTTTAGTTTTCAACAGAATTTAATCAAATTTGAAATATAGCCATAGCCATGAAATAGGTGCCATACAAACGATCGTTTGATGTAGAGGAAAAATGAAAATCTGTGAATGTAAAACTGCAAATATAATATGTATAGGTAAATGAAATGAAAGCAGGTATTACTTCATTGTTTTTTAACACAAATATATATAATTTAAATTGTATGGATTCCTATTCATAGAAGTTCTATCTGCAAGGGTATATAAACTTCGGCGTGCCGAAGTTAGCTTCCTTTCTTGTTAAGTATTATTTTGCAATGTTATTCTTTTTCACAGGTTCGCACAATGATTTTATGTGATACACTCAACTCAGATAGTTTTATTTGATTTGTTTTGTTTCTTTTTTTTTAATATTATTTTGCTATGTTATTCTTTTTCACAAGTTCGCACAATGATTTTAAATTGTTCCACTCAATTCGATTTCACAGGTTCGCACGACGATTTTATATGGTTCCACTCAACTCGGATAGTTTTATTTTGATTTGTTTTGTTTTGTTTTGTTGTTTTTTAAGTATTATTTTGCAATGTTATTCTTTTTCACAGGTTCGCACAATGATTTTATATGGTTCCACTCAATTCGAATAGTTTTATTTTGATTTGTTTTGTTTCTTTTTTTTCTCGAAGTTCTCACAAGATCACTGAAGACAAGTTACACTAACAGCTATCATATACAACCCTAATTGAATCAACAAAACGGACACGCATAATAAACAACTTCCCCCTCCTCCTCCTCCTAATACTCAACCTAAATATCGTTTTACAAATTCGTACGCATCACAATACACCCCTCTCTCACACTCCTACACTCCCTAAAGATCACTCAAAACAAACACACATTTTTACGCATGAGAAAACACCCCTCGCACACATACACCTTTGGAGTGAGAAAAAAACAAGACAAGACAAG